TTTGAAGATTTTTGGATCACCAGCGTACGTGTGGATTCCCCAACAGAAGAGATCCCAGCTAGAGACGAAATCAAGAAAACTGGTGTTCGTTGGATATTCTCTGCAGTAGGTACAAGGCGTATCGCTTTATGGATCCTGAGAATGACAAGCTGACTGTGAGCCGTGATGCAGTATTCCTAACGCCGATTGAACCTGCTAAAGTCGCGACGTCCCCGTTGAGATTCCAGCGATGAGGATTTCTACGGCTACGAGTCAACTTATGATGATTTTCAAAATCAAACGACCGACGATGAAGACCAAACTCTGGAGGATAGTGGATCAACCGATGGACAGGAGGAGAATGGTGTTGACACTCCACGGCAGTCTGTTTTATTGTTTTATTGTTGTTTTACATCAACAGGCTGGATGAAGCCCCAATGATGTTAACCTTATCAACTATGATAAAAAAATACATTCAAGAATGGTCATAACATAAAAAAACATTAAAAAACATATATCTTATAGTCAGTTACTCCTGCCGGCGAAAAACAGAAGAAAACTTTCGACGAAGCGCATCACGGGAGAGATGAAAGTCGAAAACAGATGCAACTCTGTTGAATGTTCTCTGCAGTCCGCAAATCGCACAGTACGCTCCATAATTTGTGCAACGTAGAGGCAGTCTTAGCATAAGGTTATTACGAAGCGGTCGGGGTTGAACATTCAGGTCAATTTACCTCAGGATAGCCTCGCAATCTGTCCTTCCTTGCAGGATATCGGCCACGGTTGGGCTCTGCTTGTGTCTCTTCTAGTCCGGAGAAGTTCTAGGTCGATAAGTTGACAACGGCTTTCGTAACTGGGTAATCGAAACGGATCATTCCAAGACATTCTACGCAACGCAAAACGAAGAAAGCGACGTTGAACAGATTCAATTCTCTCGGCACCGTTGTTGTAGTTTGGGTTCCAAACCGATGAACAATACTCAAGCGTCGATCGAACAAGCGAACAATAGAGAGATTTTAGACAGTAGATATCAGTGAAGTTTTTAGCTATCCTAAAAATGAACCCTAAAGTTCTTGAAGCCTTATCAACAACATATGCAATGTGTTGCTAGAATGAAAGCTGCAAATCCAAGATCACACCCAAGTCTTTCACCTGATTCACGCGTTCGATTGTCGAGCCAAGCAGGTCATAGCTAAATATTATCGGTTGTTGTTTTCGTGAGAACGTAATAGCGGAGCATTTGGCTGGGTTCACTACCATTCTGTTTAACCTGCAACAACTAGCGAATACATTCAGTTGACGTTGAAGAAAGTGACAGTCAGCAATGGAGCAGATTCGTATGAAGATTTTGAGGTCATCTGCATATGATAACCGAGGAGCTTCGATGACCAGATGCACGTCGTTGAAGTACAGTATAAAAATTAACGGTCCCATGTGGCTTCCCTGAGGTATAACTGATGTGGCGAAGAAGCTAGCTGATCTGCAATCTCCTATGGCAACCTTTAGTTGACGACCGGTAAGATATGATCGAAAGCAACTCAGAAGATTACCGCATACACCGAGCCTGCCGAGTTTAGCAATCGCAATAGCATGGTTCAACTTGTCGAATGCTGCGGATAGGTCTGAATAAATAACGTCCGCTTGAACCCGATCCGACATGCTTTCGATTATATACGATGTGAGACACAGCAGATTGGTGGTTGTAGAGCGGCCGACAGTAAACCCATGTTGATCAGCACTCAAATACTGCTTGCAATGGGACAGCAACGGTTCCATAATCACTAGCTCGAATAACTTCCTAACGGCACTTAACGATGTAATTCTCTCTCGATAGTTGTGCACAGCTTGTTTCCTTCATTGTGGACGGGAAACATGTGCGCAAATTTCCAGCAAGATGGAAATATGCCACCTGAGAGAGACATTCGGAACAGGCGAAGAAGCGGAATTAACAAGCTAGCAATATGTCTCTTCAAAAATACAGATTGAACTCCATCAGGTCCAGGATTGAAGGATGACTTGAGCAGAGTCGCGGCCTTAGAAATCATTTCTGCATTAACATCAATTGCACTCAGCGTTTGATCGTTTACTGGAACGTTCCTGGCAGCCAGCAACTTCTCCGTTGAATTCCATGGACGATGGGATTCCCTGCGTTGCTCGTTCACGTAGCTCCAAAAGGATTTCGGGTGTAGCTTAAGTTTGCGCTGGATTCCTCGTTGGAAACTTGAAAAGCATTCACGACTGACTCGCTGGTACATGTGATTCAGCTTCACATAATGTAGTTTCAGAGGAAGCGTGCGATACTTCGAAAATCTTCTCAATGCTGCTCTCTTGATTGACTTCAACCTACGTAGCTCTCTCGTCTACCATATCATAACAACGATCCGATACAGCTAGGCGGTACTCTTCAACATCAGAATTCATTCCACCGGCGTTTTGGTAGAAGATCACGACGTCCTGCTTGCGGCAAGGAATCGAACGACTGCTCTCCCTGGAAATCACATATACATCAGGCAATAACTGACCATCATCAAGTCTCATTGGATACTCGCCATAGTGAGTGGGTTGGAAGACCCCCTCTCCACATCCGACAGTAGGTCCGGAACGACTATGATGAACGAAGGCTGCTGATGGCAGGACTGAGCTGTGCAAATAAAGGTATACCACCAAGTTGTTATCCAGATGTAGTCACGTTGGTAACGGAACATCGAAATGAGCCAAATTCATACCAGGAAGCCATGGATCCGAAAGCGAGCAGTGGAAACGAGTCTAGCTGCCCAAGGATACAACCAGAAGTACGGTACGGACTATGACGAAGTATTTGCCCGGGTGGGAAGCAAACGACTCTTCGTACCCTCCTGAGTATCGCTGCACGTCGGAACCTCATAGTGCAGCACGTTGATGTCAAAACCGGCATACCTTTACGGCGAATTATCCGAGACGATCTTTATGAAGCAGCCTGCTGGATTTGCGTCTGGTGCCAAGAATGATGTCTGCCGTTAGCGAAAGAGTCTGTATGGTTTGAAACAGGCGGAAAGAGTGTGGAATGAGACGTACCATCCGAATCCGATCCTTGTCTCTACGTGAGAACATGCCACGGAAAGAAGTCTTTCGTCTTGCTCTATGTAGACGATATGCTGATTGTAACGCAAAACGAAGAAGAATACGGAAGGGTTTGCTAATTTCTACAGCGACATTTCAAAATCACATGTCTTGGAGCTGTATCCAACTACCTAGGCATCCAGATTCAGAGAACGCAAAGTGGCCAGTTCCTGTTGAATCAGAGCGCTTACATCCGAAGGGTAGCGGCTAAGTTTGGACAAGACAAAGCGAAGCCGTATCACATTCCAATGGACCCCGGATATCCGAATCTACAACAAATGGAAGAGGATCCGATGCCGCGGAACGAGGAGTTCCAAAGCTTAGTAGGTGCTTTGCTATATATTGCGGTGAATACGAGGCCTAACATTGCCATTAGCGCATCCATTCTGGGACGCAAGGTTAGCCACCGAAGCTGACTGGACGGAAGTCTAACGCATATTGCGATATCTCTACAGCACTGCCGACTTGAGAGATTGAAGCTAGGAGATGCAGGACCACTAGAAGCATATGTAGACATATGTGCGAACCGGAAAAGCAACACTGGATTCGTTTTCCGACTTGGCGGATCAATTTGCTGGACGACTAGGAAGCAGCAGTGCGTCACACTTTCTTCAACCGACGCGGAATATGTCGCCTTATCAGAAGCTAGTCGTGAGTTACTCTGGCTTCTTAAGCTGATGAAGGACGTAGGAGAGATCGGTGTCAAACACATCACGGTACAGGAGGACAATCAAAGCTGTATTCCGATGCTGCGGTCTGAAGAAGGAAATAGCCGAACGAAGCACATTGACACAAGGTACAATTTCGTCAAAGAGTTGGTCGCTGACGTACTCACGAAGCCGTTAGCAAGAGTCAAACTAGAGCAGTTGCGGAAGAAGATTGACCTTCAGTGCGTCGAGCTTGAGGAGGAGTGAAGGAGAAAGCTGAAGCAACTCGACTGAATGGTCCAATCACAGTAATCTAGATAATAATTTGATTCCAATAAACTCAGTTTGCATTAGTCACTCGACAAGTATACAGTTGTCTTTCTTTTTCCCTCCAAGAATAATAGCAAATTTTGATTTCAATTTGATCTCCAACTTTGCTCGGGTAGTGGTCTTCACATTGGTCCTGTCTAAAATTTCACATTATTTCGTTCATTACAAAATTTATTTCAATACAAAGTTAGCATATAGAAACCAAACGGAATTCAAGGATCTATTGAATGAAAAATAATGACCTTAGGAGATTGAATCCAAGACCTGCTCGCAGAGCAGGAGCAATCACCCACCCAACACTGAAATACATGGATAGTCCGTCTTAGCTTGATTGATTAAGTAGCACCTAATAGTTTTTCGAGAACGACTAAGGCGATTTTTCACTAGCAATGTTTTAATTGAATTGCGCAGACCGGCTGCCGATCGTGACCAAATACGATAAATGTTAGAATTAATAGCATGCACAAAACGAATCCTGCTACCTGTTTTGGAAGAACTTCCCTCGGGTTTGTTAAAATGCCGTATTTCAATTTTTCTACTTCATTGCAACTTATGGTTAAACAGAAAACAAAATAATTAATCTAAAATTAAAGCTAACAAAAATGGGTTATCGTGTAACGGGTAGCGTCGCTCTAACCTCAGATTCACCTGCGTGTGCCAACCCTTCGACAAAGCTCAACAATCTACACGAAAATAATAGAAATTATACTGTAATTTGGAAATGTTAACCAATCAGAAGAGTTGGCACACAGGGAAAATCAATGCCACGCAACGCTACTGCTTTAGCGTAACTGAAGACTAGAAAATAAAGTAAGTAAAACAACGTTAGCGCATATCACAAACACACGACGGCACAGTTAATCAACAAAGGCGTAAGTTAAACTAACCTTACTTATAAAGTAAATCATAGCAAAAGAAATAATAAGAAAAAAGATCAACACTCACAGTACTCACCGGTGGACTTCGGTTCCACCTTAATGTGTGGCAACTTGGGCAGCACCGGTATCACCGCGTCCGGATGGGTCTTCTTCATGTGCCGCAGCATGTTGCCACGCTCAACGTACGACTTGCTGCACTGCGGGCAGTGGTGGTTCTTCTCGCCGGTATGAGATCGCTGATGGGACACCAGATGGCCCTTGCAGATGAAGTCCTTCGGACACATGTCGCAGCGGAAGGGCCGTTCCATCGGTTGTCCCTTCGTATGGCTTCGCGCATGGAACAGCAGATTACCCTTGAGCGGGAACGACTTACCGCACTCATCGCACTGGAACGGACGCTCGCCGGTGTGAGACCGGCTGAAGAAAGAAGATTTCAGTCAGATATCGGATCGAATGGAATTGCCGCGGGTGCTTACCTCATGTGATTAATCAGATGCTCCTTCCGGGTGAAGGTCTTGTTGCATACATTGCAGCAGTGCGGATTGTCCCCGCTGTGCTGACGCATGTGGTTGTTGAGATGCTCCTTCCGAGTGAACGTCTTGTTGCAGTACTCGCATTTGTGCGGTGAGTCACCGGTGTGAAGCCTGATGGGATATTTTGTTTTTGGTTTTCAAGCGTGCATGGGAAGAAGGGACAAAATTTGAATCACGTTAATATCGGTTCTCACATACTAGCGACTGCAGAAACGTGGATTGACACAGTTATTATTATACCAAGCGAATATGGACGAGAGGAATGATAACATAAAAATGACAAGTACAGGAAACCGGTGGGTTAAAATGACACAAGCAATGATTGAGAAACAAATCTGAGGTTTCATTTAGAGAAAGCGATGGTCGTTCAATCAATTGACTGAATTTGAGAGATCAAGATGGTTTATGTTTAACTTTTTTTTTTTACGTTCGTATGATTGAGTGATGAAAAACTCGTGTCGACAAAATGTATTGATATTATTATTCTTTACTGGAATAGTTGTTATTTAACAATGAGCAAAACACAGTTAATACAATGAAAAGGAACGAACACGCCAAGTTTGAGGGAAAATTCGTTTGGAAAAATACGCACATTTTTTCAACCATGAACAAGTTTGGGTATATCTCTAAACACGTTTTAAAGGCATTCTAAAGAGTCATCAAACCACACATTCAAAACTCTTCCATTGCACATAGAGAAAAAAATGTTACGCTTTTTTTCGAACCAATTTCATATCAACCTTTGAGCGTAAAAATATGAACCTTTGATAGAAGCAATCAATTATTTCTGATTGATCTTTTTATATTGTTTTTTTTTTTAATGAAGTGACTAGTGAGCAAGCGAGACAAACTGATTAGAAGTAGAGTGTGGGTGTTTTGTGTAGAAACGGAACGGAACAGAAACGGATTGCAAAAAGCTACACGAACGGCCCTCACCTGATATGATTCTTGAGGTGTTCTTTTCTGGTGAATGACTTGTTACAGTACTCACACCGATAAGGAGACTCTCCAGTGTGCAATCTGTAGGATAAGAGGTAGCAAAATAACGAACAGAAAAGAAACGATAACTGGTCTGTCTCTTGGCTAAAACACAGTTTCACACAAAAATCAAACGAAATCGCTTACTTTCTTCATAGGTTTTTTTTTTCACTAGCTGAATTATTGTTCTATGCAAATTAGCTTACTTGACCTTCACTTTTTTTTTTGCTTCATCAACTCAGTAAAACCTTAAATTTGTTCCTACATCTTGCTCGGAAGCGATTCTATTATTCATTATTCGTACAGAGTTATAGAACAATTGAAAAGCAAAATATAGATCACTAGAACTTAAACCATAAAACTAAAGAACGAAAACAAAAACAGGTAGAAAATGATAAGAAAAATTCGTTTTCCCTCACCTGATGTGATTGGTTAAATGCTCTTTTCGGGTGAATTTCTTCCCGCAATATGTGCACTGATAGGGAGTTTCTCCGGTGTGCAATCTGTATATACATTAGGTATATTTTTTTTTGTTTTTTTTTTTTGGATTGTTTTGGTTTCCGAGAGTTGGTAGGTTTGGCGGGCGAAAGGGGAGAGAAAACGAGAGAGAAAGTTGAAAATAAAACGCAAAAAATTGTACAACAGCTTTAAGAGTAATGGAAATAAAATATGTAACAGTTTTTGAAAATTAAAAAAAAAACATAAACGGAAAACTATATGACGAAACAGGTGGCGGAGGGTGGGGAGGTTCTGGGAAGTGGTGTGTAATAGAGTTCAATCTGTCGTCCGTTTTGGTACGCGCATTACAATCTAAGTTCTGAATATTTGTGGACGAGTCGAGAATCGTGTCGGATACAACACAAGCTAGTTAAACTATGGGATTTTAGAGGAAGGAGCATAGGATCAACGAGTAATAAACATACAACCTAACTAACAAAACTAAAACTGTGAATCGAACATTCGCACCGAATACATTGTCTTAAGTATGTTCAATAGTCAGTAAGAGGTTTCCAATGTCGTTTTTTTTATAGGAATCGAATTTGAAAAATATAAATCGTACAAGCCTGTAATTTATGGATATACAAAATTTACTCAGTCTGACCCATAATGGTACAGAAAACCTTGCCCGATAGTTTTATTTCTATGTACATATATATAATGTGAATTTACTGATCAATGTGAGAAATATGTTGTTCCTAACTTTTCATTTCTCTTCTTAACTATATTTTGGTTACATACATTGGATAATATAAAAAAGCTGAAATCATTTCAGCTTCAGCTATCTAGATTAAATTTAGGAACCTGGAAAAATCTAACCAGGACATGGCTCACATAAATTTACCAAAGATAGGCATGTTTTACATCGCCAGCCAGAATGGCATAATTTCATTTGCTTATTTTTTTTAGAAAAAAAAATATAAAAATTGAGCTAGGACATTTTGAAATCTTAAAATTTCTAACATTTTCATTTGAATTCCTACTCAAAATGACTAAATAAAATGTATAGGCAGCAACCATTGTGTGGTCCTCCTCATTGTTCTTCATCAGCAGTTCATTCAGTCGATACGTCATCGACTTTGAAAAACAACCGTTTCGTGATGAATGTGTGGAACGCTCTGACCCCCGTTGGCGACTCTGCCATACAATGAAACCACTAGAAGCGGCTCCCGTTCTAATGGAGGAGGCTTATTGGATAGCGGAAGATGTTGTACCTTTTGACTATAGTTTTAAGATGTATTGTATAGTGAACAAGAATCCTCGGCTCTGTAAAGTTAATTCGATTGAGCCTTATCAAATAAATTAATAAACAAAAAACCAACTACCTCTCCAGGATTTGCAGACCAAATTTCACTAGGTTGTAAACTGATGCTTCCAAGAAATTTAGATCTACACTTGTGTAATGCACCACAACTGCAGAGCAGATGTTCCGAGCTTTCACGTTCTAAATTACAGAAACGACAGATATCACTCTGAAGCCGACCAATGTTCTTCATACGATATCTACTAGGACAGTGCCCAGTTACTAGGCCAGTGTATATACTAAGAGCTCTTTTATTGAGCTCTAAGAGCTTTTCTGTGTATGTTATGTTAGGAGTTATAAATCTTTTCGACTGGTTGCAGTTTGTGACAGTCGTCCAATTGGCCATCACCCTTTGCTCTTCCCAGCATTTGAGTTCCATTTTTACCGTACAGTATGATATTCCACAGAATGGTTCTGGGCCAAAAAAAACTGTGAATTGGAACCTAACTTTGCTAGGTCGTCTGCCCTTTTCATTCCCTACAATGCCACAGTGTCCTGGTACTCAATATAAGTTTACTGAGTTCCGTTGGCACATACATTTGTAAGCACTCAGTGCTTTCAGCGCTGCTTGACTATCAGAAAAAAAAAATGCAAATATTTGCACATCCGTATTTCCTCCTCCTTAATTTCCGCTGAAACACTGTTGGAAAAAGTCCCATCGCAACTGAATTATTTATCCCGGGGCCAAAGATTCCTGCACCTGTTCCAATTTTTAAGCCATCTGTGAAAAATATGATTGAGCCTTGACGAACGTTAGGACCACCAGTTTCCCAATCCGAACGTGCCACGTTCCACATACGTTGAAGGGAATTTCATAGTTGTCCTCTGGTTTCATCCAGTCTCCATTCGTACTCATCACTGGTCCTCTTTGGAAGTATTGTAAGATGCTTAGATGACCAACAAGATCACCTGGCATGACTTTTTTTAGATCTTTTGAGCCTTAGAGCACTTCTAGTTCGCTTCTTATTGCACATGTTCATGCAAGGACAGCAGATTGAGGATTGCTTCTAATGCTTTTGATGGGGTGGTACGCACCGCACCCGTTATTGCAACGCATGCTGGACGTTGAAGTTTTGCTAGTTTCCTCTGTGCAGTAGCCTCTTTCGGACGGATTATTGATGCGTAAATCCACATTGTCATTTTTGGTTTCAAACCCCACTTTCTTCCAATAGTTTTGTAGAATGCCCACAGGGCACTGGTTGCTTTGTTAATCACAGAATCAAGCTGAGCATTCCAATTCAACTTGGCGTCCAAAATAACTCCTAGGTATTTAACCTGTTCACTATGATGGATCTGCTCTCCTACAAGATTGAATTCTTTTAGGTTAATCTTCCTCTTTCTAGTAAAGGTGATGATTACGATTTTTGATGGATTAATACTTAGGCCCTCTTTAATGCACCAAAACTGGGTAAACTTTAGGGCCTCTTGCATTTTTTCAGAAATGATAACGTCAAACTTTCCTCTTACTAATAATGACTATGTCATCGGCAAAGCCCACAACTTCGAAACCTTTTGCTTCCAGGCTTCTTAGAAGATCATCTACAACTAAAGACCACAGCAGTGGTGAGAGAACTCCTCCTTGAGGACAACCTTTCGTTGCCTTCACTGTTATAGATGAGCTACCCAGTCCAGAAGTGATTTCCCTTTTTGCAAGCAGTCTGAATCCAGTTGAAGATCCGCCTATCGAAGTTCCTTGCCTTCATGGTGTAAACCATAGAGGAATAGGATGCGTTATCAAAAGCTCCTTCAATATCCAAGAAAGAGCAGAGTGCAATTTCATTAACTGAAAGAGATTTTTCATTTTTTCCGGATTGATACGCAAACTGAAAATTAGATAATGGATGCGTGAACATGTAAGTTGAATTGATGAAATCATTCAACACCTTTTCCATAGTCTTTAACAAAATTGATGAAAGACTGATGGGCCTGAATGATTTTGGATGCATTTTGTCGCGCCTCCCATTTTTTGGTATGAATATAACTCTTACCAATCTCCATTTTGATGGAATATAACCTGCTATATGGATAATATAACCTTATAATTGCCTTAAAAATCTTAGTTAGAGCCGGAATCAGCACTGCTTCACCTTTTTGAAGTAGCACCGGGAATATTCCGTCCACACCTGCAGATTTAAAGGGCTGAAAAGATCTCACCGCATTTTCTACTCTGGCCTCAGTGAAGATTTCATCAGCTATATCTGGTGTGGTGTCTCCAGTTCTTTGAGACTCCGAAGAGGTCTCCGTAGAACATCTTTCATCAACTGGCCCTAGTGGTCCTCATATTGCTTTTTCTTCGTCTTCGCCTTTCAAGCTTATTGCTAATCGCATAATAGCTTATTCTGTGCTCTCAACTTAGTGTGCTAGATGCACTTCCACCGTTATTAATTGAGAGCCTGTACCATTTTTGCATTAGTATTATTGAGTGTCATGTACAATCATACTATATGCCCAGGGTAGTCGAGAAATTTTCCAACTCGATCGGACCGGGAATCTAACCCAGTCGCCTCCAGCATGGTCTTGTTTTGTAGCTGCGTCTTCATCCTTGTCCTCATATTGCCCTGTCTTAAATTTCACATTATTTAATTCTTTACCAAATTTATTTCAATACAAAGTTTGCATATATTTTGCCGTATATCAACGCAAATAAAAGCAGTCAAAGTTATTTCAAATTTGCTTTAAGCCTTGATTAAAACTTGAGCACTAGGTCCAACACTGGAATTGAATTATACAATATTGATTGTTTTCGCCCTTGTTATTTATTTTTTGAACTCCTTTCGACTTATTAGAGTGATGTTTACTCGTTACTCGGCAGCAACCATTGTGTGGTTCTCCTCATTGTTCTTCATCAGCAGTTCTTTCAGTCGATGCGTCGTCGACTTTGGAAAGCAACCGTTTCGTGATGAATGTGTGAGTGCTGACCACGTTTTGCGTCCATTGCTGCAATGGAAGCGCTCTGACCCCCGTTGGCGACTCTGCCATACAATGAAACCACACCAAGATGTTGTCCCTTTTGACTATAGTTTTAAGATGTATTGTATAGTGAACAAGAATCCTCGGCTCTGTAAAATTAATTCGGTTGATAAGGCTCAAATAAATGAATAATAAAAAAAAACTTTGTGTTCTAGATGTACTTCCACAGTTATTAATTGACAGCTTTCTATGCCAACCAATGTATGAATTTGTATATTGTGTGTTGTGTGGCCAACACAATGATACTCTCTATGCCCAAGAAAATTCGAGAAAATGTCCAACCCGTAAGATTTCCTTAACCGGACCGGGATTCGAACCCACTGCCTCCGGCTTGGTAATACCGTGCCTTTACCGACTAGGCTATCTGATGCCCCAGTTTTGCCAATGGTCTTATAACTCGGTATCGACTAACTCGGCTTATACGTTGCTTTTAAAACAAACGGGTCACAGTAATGGCAAATTTTGAATTGCAAACTCGCCTTAAGTTTTATAATCCAATTAGGGTAGAATACAGCTTTGGCACGGCTTTACCTATTATCGTCAGGGGGTGAAGTCCTTGAACGTTGTTTTTTTGTGTGAATGAAGGTACATCAAGTTGTTTTCCAAAGTCGACGACGCATTGACTGAAAGAACTGCTGATGAAGAACAATGAAGAAGACCACGCAATGGTTGCTGCCGAGCAAACAGACGATCGCGTGACACACATTGAGAATGATCTGCTTCTGTCGACAG